GAATAGGCCATTTTACAGTTGTGTACTTAGTTGCCAAGCCTTTGATTCAGAGTGAGGCTAAAGATGACCTTGTTGTGATAGAGACCTGTATCTAGTTAGCATGATAACAAAGTGATTTACATTTGAAAGGCAGCAAGGTTTGTATCATAACAAGGTCATCTCTAGCCTCACTCCCGTTCAAAGGCTTGGCAACCAAGCACAGAACTGTAAAATGGACTATTGAGTTTGTAAGGGTTCACAAATGGAGCTTGCGTGACACTGCGTCTCGAAGTTTGTATGACGTTGGTGTCCCTCCATCTCACAGACGCCCCACCTAGCCAAACATGGCAGGCGTATGAGACACCCACCGGTGGAAAGACGGCGAATGAGATTGATCTCGAAGAAGTCGTCAAAAAGAAGCGCCCCTTAGGTCGGTTCATGCCTGACGGTACATGGGATGACGAAGACCCTGAGGGCAGAGCTCGAGTCGCGAGGAGGCAGTTTTTGAGGATAGCGATGATTGCATCGTTCACTATAGCTGCCTACCTGTTTATGCAAATCATCTTTCTGGGGGTTGAAGCTCGCGAGTTTGATTCGGAGAACACTCGTTGTGATAATTTAGGAAATAGAAGTTGACCAGACAGTAGTAAAGAGAGCAATATTTGTAAATCTAGTTTGTTAAATTTGAGGGTTTAGTAGATGTACCGAGGAGGAATTGAGGAGTCAGAAAAGGTGAAAGTGACGAAGTGTTTTAAATCCCTGATCAGGCTCTCATGTTTCCTCCTCTTGTGGTTGTCCCCTTCGCTACCTGTTACTACTCCCCTCATCACGCAACAACTGCTTCGCTTTTCCGTTGTGCGACAGTTTTTAAAAAAACTTATTCGAGCGACAATCAAAGCTTTGAAGTCAGTCACTTAAGCGAATTAGGATTCCAACACCAAGTCATTAACTCTCCTTTTTTTTTTTTGACTCTTCAATTTCTCCAGACCAATCAACGAAGACGACTGCAGAAGACGACAGCGGATTGCTGGGACGTTTGAAAAAAGCATTCTGCAGAGACGAGGACGAGGATGATGACAACAAAGATAATAGGCGTCAGGGGAATGCGTGACAACGCACTCTGCTAAAACTGCTCTGGAAATTGCACGAACTGTCCGCCGTTTCAGTAAATCGTCATAATTAGTCATGGTTCAAGGTGATGCCAGACAATACTTCGCTGCCTTCGATAATTAGGCGTAGAATGTGTGTTTCAAAATCTGCCCTAGTTGTACGATTCGAGATCTTCCTAGGACATTGCATTGCGCGCGACTTATGTTTTGGACTTGGTAATATTAATGTATTTATACTGGCGGAAGGTTCTCTGGTATTTCCAGGGTTTTTAATGACCTTTTAAATAAAGAAAATACTGTATGGCTTGTCTTAAATAGTTTAGTTTAAATTGTGGTAAAGTGATTTACCGATGTGTAATGCACACTTATCTGTCTATTTGCATTATGTTTGTTTGTTTGATTGGTTTTGTACCCACGGTAGATTAAAGGTAGCTGCATTTTCGTAATTTTTGTTTTTTGTAGTGTTACTTCGAATCAAATTCCTCTCACTCAATTTTGTCAAGCATTCTGAGAAAAACTCTTTATTTCTCCTTACGTTTGCTATCCTACATTGAGATTAGGAATTTTCTTCTAACAATAGATTTCTTGAAAATTGTTTATTTTCTGATGTAATGGCAAAGTAGTACAAAAGTGCCTGACTTTCTTTCTAGCAAAGTTATTTTATTATAAAGTTCTAGCGTTGCATCTGAGAAGATTTTGTTTCCCTTCAACTAACGAAAATTATAGATTCTAGATAAAGCAACCTTATAACTGGTAACATTTCTTTGGAAAAGAGTCGTTTGCTTCCTGCGCTTAATCTACTGTCCCACATTATGTTTTGTCAAAGCAATAATTTCCCTTGGCGAAAACTGGGAAAGAACTGGAGTAGGAGAAAAAGAACCAATTTTTGATGAGTACAATTCGCTAATGGTGAGTTCACATGATGTAGCTGTGTTTCACCGCGCAACGGCGATTTTACGAGCAGTAGGCTCCCGTCATATTCCTTTAAGCTAAATTGCATCCTTGGAAAGTTGGAATGCTTTGCCGTATACATGTATCAGTCATTTTGTGAGTACATTGATGAATTTTTCTTACGCGGGTTCTTTAACCAGTGATTTTAAACGTTGAACATTACAGAAAAAGAACTTGTTCCGTCGGTTGAAACAACCAGTTGAACATCGAAAACTAGAAGGCAGAGGATCAAATAATCTCCTCTGCCCTGCCCGTAGCGAAGGTTTTTTTTTTTGTGAGGTTCATGGACAAGATATCAAACAATTTTGTTAACCTAGAGCACAGATATTGTCCAACTAAAAATTCCAACTTTAGAGAAAATTTTCAACTGGATATGAAAAGCAGAAGGAGATTGTATTAGTTTCTGTGACTAGTCTGCGAACTAAATCAATGAACTCAACCAATCTAATGCAAAACAATTTCAACTAAATGTCATAAAATCAAAACCAACTTAAACCTGAAGCCAATCATAACAAAGATTTGCGTCATCATTAGCTGATAATGAGGACCTAAAGAGAAAATGGACGAACTACCAAAAGCGCGGGAAAACCCAGGAGAGTAAGTCACGATTGATCATCGTCTGGCGTCTGATTGGTCTAGAAGGTGGCGCGAGTTTTCTGTACCAATCAAGGACGGAAGTTAACAAAACCAAGGTAATCCGGGGTTACTTTCGACACTCTATGAAGATTACTCTTAAAACCAATCAGGATTTGGAGACTTGCGCTTTGTCTAAACTGTTTGTTCTTATTGGCTCCATGTCAATTATTTGTTTAGATAGGCTGCTACGATCACCTTGATTCTTGTCTTACGACACGCAATGGGAAAGGGACATCTGGAAAATAGATTCATACTCAAGGTAGAAAACTTAAAAAGGATCAAGGGGGCCTATACAAAAGTAAACAAAATAGCTGCTATATTTTTAACAACCGACAGATCATCGAATTGATATACTTCTAAACTTTCCCTTGTCAGAAATTCTAAGCTTTGCTTTCTCCTTCTTCTGTTTCTTGGCCTCGGAAATCCATCTGCTGATGTAGTATTTCTCTAAATTTCGCGCCTGCACGACTGACGGAGGGTCCAACGGGTTCTTATGTCTCAAGTCTAAGTGATGGGCGCCATCCTCTATCAGCACAGCAATGAGGCTGTCGCTTATGTTGCAGGTAACCCCGCCCGCAGCCCAGGGATCAAGGGCACCGTTGCTACAACAGGACAAAATGAAAGCAGAAGATCGTTGAGTCAGTAGTCCGTAGGTATCTGTCGTTAGCAGGAACAAACTGCAAAGAGTTCTCTTTTCGCAAATTTGGCGCTTTAACTGTGGGGTTGTTCTCACAGCGGTCAAATGTCTGTGCTTGTGCCAACGTCGTAATAACTAGGTAGCGCTTAGGTGGTGTGCATTCAGGCTGTTTAGAAGCGTATAACTTTTTTGGTAAAGCTCAGAACAGAATGGTAGATCAACCGGATAATCGTAATTGAATAACCTTTGTTTTCGTTAAGTCTCGAGTTTTTTTTTTCCCTACTTGAGTTTTCTTTTACAGATTGCCATGAACGATTCAATTTTCTTTCACCTATTTTTCAAGAAAACGGTTGTTTCTTTTGCTTTCCTTTAAAATGTTGGGTGGGAAATTGGCGCGCGCGGCAAAAATTTAGGACCTAAAGCAAACCACGACGGCGACGGCAACGAGTAAGTGGAAAAACAAAAGAAGTGATGATCAGAACAACAGCCAGGACGGGCGTTTGAAAACTTTGTACGTTTCTTAGCTGTCTTCTGCAGCAACGTGAAATCACCGAACTTTGCGTGGTCTACAAACGGAAACCGCGACGGCAAATTATTTTAATTTCCATTCGGAACTCAAAGCTGCTTCTAAACGTTATGCTGAAGTTGAGATGTGGCGCCGTAAGAGACGGTTAACACGTGCAGCCACTTTCGAAATTCTAACTAAAAATATAAGTTCTTTTTTTAATCGACGTCTTCATCAACGTTGCCATCCTGACTGCCCAAGGTCCTCTTGCGCATGTCCTACGTTTGACCGCTGTGTTGGGATTGTCGCTAGATCGTTTGGTTAAAAACTTGAATGGATTTTTTGGCGGACAAAAATTGGAGAGAGACCAGGGTGCCTCACACCCCCCTACTAGGAAGAGATTAGCTCTTATCCGTTTAGAAACGCTCTTGTTTTGTGTGCCCCTTTAAATATTAAGCGGGAATATCAAAACTCGAATCCAGAAAGAAATAATCACTGACTTACCTGAACACTATGTTACTATGAGCTTTTAACTTCTTGCCACCATACTGAATCTCGGCCCAGTACTCCAGCGGTGTCACGCCACGTGAATTCTGGCAATCTTTGGCGTAAGCATCGAAATTCCACTAACGGATAAGAAACAAGACACCATTATTGGAGAGTACAAACGGAGCGTGAGCAATTGCTGGTCTGTCTCCGTGGCGTGAAGTGAGTGCTACTTTTCCCCCCGTACGGTTTGCTATTGCAAACTATTCCCCTCTCGCTTCACCTCCGTCCNCTCAGGTTTCCTGAAAGTTTATTTGTATCCACTTTAACTCCTGGGAGAGTCTCTAATCAAGAACACGCCCGGGTCGAACCGGAAACATTTGATCCGAACTATTGGAACAGTGAGATGTTAGTTTAAGGTGAAATCAAATTTATCTTTGCGTGCGTCGCTTCCTTACCTCTGACTTGGTAAACATATCATTGACACCGTCTGAGCAGAGAGGCATGACCATCTCGGTACAAGCCTAAAATCACAACATCAATTCAGCCAGTTAACTCAAAGGACACGTGAACCAACAGTGCGTAGTTTTTGATGTTCTTACAAATGCGCGCAGTCTTATCATAAAAGGCCGGGAGCGCGTGACCAAACAGAAGCAAGGTCCAGGGATTATGCAGTCTGATCCAAAGATTGGTTCTGATCTCCCTAATTAACAGCCGCCATATACAAGGCTGATATAAAAGCACAACAAAGAACTTACTTGAATTGATGTCAGTACCTTAGTGTCTGCGCACTGACCCCCCCTAGCCTAACAACAGTCAACTGATAACAAGTTAAGGTCTCTCAGATAGTGAAGTTGATCCAACGACTTATGTCGCAAGTGTCAATAAGTGAACAGTGTTGATTTCAAATGGTTTTTAAAAAAAAACTCAAAACAAAACAAAAATAAATAGAGGTAATGTGATCGGGATGGTCTATGAGAAAAAAAAGAAATGTTTAAAGTAACTTCAAGGAAGGAAGAAAGTGTCTGTAGCTGAGCGAGTGACTAAGTTATGGTTCGTTCATTCAATTTTCTATGGTCCCCTTTCAACTCTTTTATGCCCAAGATCGCATCAGTAATTCTCCTAAAAGACGTCTATAAAATTCTTATGAGTTTAGTTCGGAAAATTTGGTCTAGGATCAACTGATAATCCTAATATAAAGATTTAGCCAAGCCTAAAAGCGGAGCTCCCAAGTTCGTAATATTAATGATAACATAAAAGATGTGCATTTGCCAAGACTCGCCTGAGTCACCCCTCACTTCGTTTTGATAGTATCCCCTACCTTACCCGTGCAATCTGAAGGCACGTACGTACGTACGTACGCTCGGTCAGTCACGTGACAACCAAAGGAAAAGAGGTTGACCATATTCCATGGGTATGGGGCTCTGCCCCACGCGTGGGAGCCACGCTATAATTGATATTTTTGTATTTGTTTTCATCACTTATCTGCCTGGTGCTGTATTGATATTGTAAAGAGAAATTATGTTTTGGTCAGTCGTGGGAGTTATGGGTTACACAATTCCATGTTGGCGACGACTGAGCCTCCTCTTTTTCCCCTGAAAACCATGTGATCCCCACCTCCACCCCCCCTTCCCAAAAAAGATTCTCCGGTCCCTCAGGCGGTGGATAATGACTGTTCCCTAATAACTTGTGAAGCTTGATTGCCAACTGCGTGAGACTGCTCCACAAATAGCAACCAACCTGGAAATACCAGCCTTCGTCTCCCAGGAAGGATACAGCTTGCTGTGAGGTGTTAAAACATTTGGCATTGCCTGAGCTGTTGTAGTACACTCCAACAGCTTTGGATATGGCTCCCAGGAGTTTGTCATCGTCTAGCGACTCGTCTTGAAGATATTTACATGTTTCCTGAGGGAAAGATTGAAGAATTGTGATTGCTTTCATGGTGCCTACCTTCTAATAAACAATCCCTTTTTAAGAGAAAACAAATTAAGAACTCTCGCTTCCTTCCACGTGACGTGCATCTTCCGCTCATTCTCGTCCCCAGAGCCACTCCTTTTCACCCACCATTGCGAGACAAGGCAAGTGATCATCTGGGTACGAGAATGTGGAAGATGGACGCTTCGAGTTTTTAAAAAGCTCTTATTTGAAATAAAACAATGGGCTTGCGCCTTACCTTGATTGGCCAAGCGGGAAGAGGTTCCAAGAAACTGGCATGGTACGGATAATCCACTGTAAGATGAATGCAGCGGTTAGCACGAAATATTTGGCTAGAATTCGTTTTATTAGAGACGACAACGAATAACACTAATTCTCACCCATTGCTAAGTTGACCCAGGTCTCGCTCAGCCAATATTCCAACTGAGTGACGTTGTCTTTGGTTTTGAGAGGGGAACACAGCTTAAATATACTGGATAGTTTTTTCCGCCCGCTTTCTACAAGAGAGAAAAATGTAAAACGAGGTATTTACGGTGATGCAAACCCCAGCATATTCAACAAAGTACAAAACCTTTGCTTAATTAAACTCAGTTAATTAAAAGAAGTGATATTCCTTGTACCTGTTTTACCGTAATCTTTTACGACGTTCCATGACTTTTTTACCAAATTTACACATGGGTCTCCTCCGTCACGACGGAAATCTTCCGTAACAATTTGATAAAACTTCTGCAAATGTACATTGGAAGAAATTCGAAGAAAGAAGCTTTTAGAAGTTTCCAAAGATTATGCATTGTTTGGTTATCACCAAGGTTGCAAAAAAATATACAAGGTCCAAGGCTTAAACACTGGCATTTCTGTAAGAATCAGTAGATGGGCTAAGATTCGGTCGGGGAAGGAGACCACTTATGTCCAGAGGGCTTACGAAAGCAAAAATCTAATAATGAAACTGAATATGTAAACTAACATCACACTTCTATTACAGGTAGACTTCAAAAGGTCAATCAGGGTTTTCCACGACTGACGACGAAATAGTAAAAATCACTGTTCCTTTTCCTACGTGTTCTGACCAAGTTACAAGTTATTTGTAAGCTTCTTAAGAGGGGTAGGAAGGTACCTGATGAGCGGGAAGAATTGTGTAGCAGTGTTTGACGAGCCTTTTAAGTAGGATGGCTAACATGTGGCAAAGTTACAAGGGGAGGGAGGACGGGTTTGACTGAGATTTTACGGCATCGAGAAATCTCAGATGAATGTCTCACCTCACAAGGGGTTAATCCTGTAAATTGAAGAATTGGTGCTGAAGCTGCGAGGGCCCTGGTTTGGAAAAAATAACGGTTAAGAAATTCAAGGTAACCTGCGTTGGTGAGCGGTCTCTTCGAACAATGTCAATAATAATGATGAGCTCTCCTGAAATATAAGCATCAAATTCTGGTCTCGTTCCTCTCACCGCTCGTATCGGCCCCGTTCACTTACCCTATAACAATATTTGGATACTTCATTCGAAACCAAGCGGCCAGCATCCCTGAAAAAGAGGAAAAAACGGAAAAAATGTATCTTTAAGACATCCGGTGACTATGCTGCGTATATTTCACACCGTCGCGTGCAGACTAAGGAACTGATAATCATTTATCACCAGGGGAAAAGAGGGCCACGGAAGATTTTTTTGGGGGATTATATGGTTTTCAGGGGAAACAGAGGTCGTCAAAAACAGAGTATAAAGGAGGAATTAATGAGACTTTACTGCCAATTAACTGCCAACGTGGGGGGGGGGGGGGGGACATAAGAATGTTATACAATATCCTCCGACCCCGACCCCCTCTGGCAAAAATTATAAGCGGTCCCCAAATTTCGTCTTGTTTTGAGTTTGGCATGAAACAAATGCATAGTCGGAGACATCAATCAGTTCTTCTCCTTCCCATTCTTCCCACAGCCGCGGCTGCTCCACTCATGTTGCGAATAAGTCGACTTAATAGAAGCACTTTTGTGCGAGATCCTCCTCCTGAGCTGGCTTCTGATTCTTACCTCCGTAGGACCCTCCAATAGCGACCACTGGGCTTTCACTTGCTCCTGGTACTGTCTCCTAAAAAAAGAGGATATAGTGAGGAGCTGCTTTTTGCCAAACGCTCGAGACTATTTCCGGAGAAACAGTCGATCAACCCTTTTTAGGGAGGTAGTTTCAAGGATGGAGGGAAGAAGGGAGAAGCATGCCTCCGATTCTCGCTAATACATTTAATAAATAAAGAGCACCCCCCTCCCCTTACCCTACTGGAGAATCCTCCGTATACGTCCTTGCATATACTCATTCATATTCAACAGATAATTGCAACTAAATGAGAATTATTTATCAAGAGCCAACTCAGCAAACCCTCATTATCTTGCCTTTATGTGACGAATAAGAACAGCAAAGTCAGCCAAAGCCTGCTCTGAGGTCAAATATCCTAAATACTTCGGTCCCTAAATGAAAACAATTCGATGTTAGTGCTGATTGGCTATCTCATCTGGTTGTCATAATTAGCATAAATTATCATAGGTAACGGAGACCACGAGGTGGAAATAAACATGGCAGTTGTGTTCTAGAATTCTAGTGCGTTTTATTCGCCGCTTACTACTTTTTCTCCTTAGTCGACTCTACAAATCAACAGTTAGTAACGCTCGTCAAGGTTTCTTCAAGGTGATAGGACCTGGACTCAACGGAAAAGAATTGTTTTAAGGCACCAAATCCCGAAAACATTCCTCTCCCCTCACGGGGATCATAGGTTCGCTGATCAAAAGATCCCTTCCGTGTTTGCTTCCCATGATCGAACGATTCGAATCACAGTCAGTGCTAAAAGAGGGGAAAACAATTATTTTTCATCTATATTATCAAAATGAGTAAGAAAATATAATGCAGATCGATCTCTGAATGAATGACGTGAACTGAAACTCAAAATAACCTTAAGAACAAGCTAGAACAAAAGAAAGAAAGAATCTAATGAAAATCCAAAATAAACACACGTGACCCCCTTAAGGACGGGGAAAGCGCGCGCACACTATCAAGTTAGCTTTAGTTTGCATGTAATTGGCAAGCGCCAGGGTTTTACACCAGTCACAAGGCATAACAGGGTAAACCATTTCAATCATGCATAACGTTTGGCACTCAAATGAAAACTGCATTAATCAGTTGAACTAACCTTGTAAGACAGCTTTCCAAATGGTAAGGACTTGCCATAGTACCTATGCTCCGCAAAAACTAGCATGGCTTTAAACTCCCCTGCAATATCCCACATGAATCCCTGGGTACAAGACAAGTTTTGCAATCTTAGCCCACACGTTTAGTTACCTTCAAATTACATTATGTTTAAAAGCGACCCTTCCTAGATGATGATCGCAAGGGCTACGTTGTCATAGAGCTTTCGTTAGAATGAACGAGGGCTAAGAATTTTGTCAAATCCTGACTAACGAGTAGAACACACGTGACTCGCGATCCGGAATCGTCCTAAAAATGTCAATCTTGCATGGGATTCATTTAGAGTGATGATAAAAAGGGGGGTACAAGGGAGAGAGGCAGTCAAGTTCTCCCTCGTTGGTCCCAATTCCCTCTCGTCCACTTATAGTCTTCAACACGCAGACTGACATGACAGAGAGCGCTTGCGAAAAATGTGTGGCTGACATGTTTAACCTAATTTCGTACCCAGATCCTACCGTGTAACTGTGCCACTAAAAGCCGTAAAAGGTCTGGATACGGAATACATCTGACCTTCTCGGGTAATAAACATGATTCGCTTCTCGGTAACTAGGAGTTCAAGACCTAATTCTAAAGATCAACTTAATTGGTAATATTGATGTGTTTTGGTAATTTTAACCTTGTATTGTTAGAAATTCAGTAACCAAATACTCACCGTGTTGTTGGCAAACCAGGTGATATCTCCTTCATTTCCGGTATAAAAGAGGATAGGTCCTCCTTCCACCCAGTTCTTACTCGCCACAAGGTAACGCTGTAGAAAAGTGCCATTGTTGCTGAAGCCAAAATGATCCAGCTGTGCAATAAAAAAAAAAATGGAAATAATTGATGTGGGTATGGGTATAATTGATTGAATATTTTGAGCATCATTAAGTTTTCTTCGAGCTCAGCAAAGATTTGATTGTGTTATTTTAAGACGTTGAATGTCACGCACCACTTGTTGTGTGACAATTCCGAATCTTGAATAGCGCGGGTGACGACAAAATCAACTCGAGGAAAATACGGGTAAAAATGATTTTCTCTCGAGTCCGGTCTCGAACAGCTGCTGCTTATCGAGCTTTAGAGATGGGACGTGATACAAACGTGACCTGCTTGTCAAACAATAACTTTTCTTGACATTAGGTGTCAACCAGCGAATTATCCCTCTAGGCAAACTAAACTTAAAAAATTCACGGAAAATCAGATGTCTGTTACAAATAAAAGGTCTTTAATCAAATTGACCCTTAAATAAATAATCACACAAAGTGAATAATTTTATTAATACTGATGATCTGCAATATTTGGCCGGGATATTACATGGCAAACTATGTAATTTTGTCCTTCCAAGTTAAAAACCACTCCAGCTGATGCGGTTGAAATGTTAGACCCGCTTTCAGAAACTGAAATAGAAATCGAATTGAGGCGTAGAATTCCAAATGTAAAACAGTTATGAAGCTAAAAAGATCCTTTACCTTTTGGCGAAACGTTTTTGTCTCGTAGATGCAAAACGGACACAATTGTCGCTTAGCGTGAAGTCCAAAATCCTTTCCTTGTGGACGAGGAAATCGAGCTCGAAGACGGAAGGCATCACTGGCAGAAATAACAACCAGAAAAAAGAATGTAATCCTACAGAAGACTTCAAATGCAGCCATGATGGTTAGTCACTAATGCCTTGCATCTGAAGTGGCAGATACTGTGACGCCTTTTGTGTATTTGTCTGTTTCCCAGCCTAACTCGTGACTTCGGTGACCTCGTGTCGATTCATCCATGTGATTTCCTCGTGATCGGCACGGGTTATTGTTGTTGTTTCCACATTTAAAATTACCTTGATCCTCAGCCTTCAAAGATGGATATTTTCGTTTCGTTTGGTTTTACTGCTAACTTTTCACACTTATGTCAATAACAGAACTTGCGATCTGAGTATCATATGTATTATTAATGTGCTTTTTTTGGTAGTTTTTGGCTGTTGACCAATGAATCGAGCGGTGAAAACAGGTTGTTGTAGTCAAGGTATATTTTGTGTTACCAGTTTCCTGTGGTTTGGATTAGGGAAAAACCATGTCTCCAATATGCATAGCTTGCTATTTTTTGTCGCTATGCTTCCAATGCAAGGCGTCGAATGGCGTATCCGTGTGGTTTGGGGCGGAAAATTGTGGGTTTGATTTTTCTACCTAGAACCTCTGCTCTGCTGTCTTTATTCTTATCGAACGTCTAAAAAACAAACACCTACACAGTCCACATATTTTCAAACTTGGCCTTTAATCAAACCGGGTGTCAGCTTACAGGATTAACTTAATCTTTGCATTGGCAAAGATCCCTTGACTTTAGGGAAGGTACGTTTATTACTGAGAGGGGAGGGCTGGAGCCCTAGAGGGGAGCGCTGGAGCCTGAGAGGGGAGGGTGGAACCTGAGAGGGGAGGGTCATTAATCAAATTTGCAAGCTAAGGGGAGGGTCACATCTTTCACTTAAAGTTATTAGGGGAGAGTCATCCTATTAAACTTTAAATTCCACCCTATAAACTTTAAGAACATAATTTGATGCTTTCTTGATCTTTAATTTTACACGTGAAAACTGAATTATCTCAATTGATTATCATCAGCAAGTAGCTATGTATGTATAAGTACTCAGCAGTAGAAAATCACTATTTTCAGTGTAATTGATAACACATCTCTACCATGGTAAAATTTTGCAAGTTATCTTAAAATCAATACGAGCAAGTTTATAAAAATCCTTAAAAGCAGGAGCCTATTACGAGTAATGGGCTCCTGTTAAAAGTTAATCTGAGCCCACGAGACAAAGTTGTAATTCAAAAGGACGCTTTCGCTTGGAGTTTATGGGGGAAAGGAAGCGTCAATGGGAATTGCATCAATCACGGTGGCGAAGATAAAGAAAAAGGTTTCCTTTATTACATCTGGCAATCTGGCCGCCGTAGGGAAATACATTCGTGAAAGTTTCCAAGTTAACTCTCATGACTCAAGTACGATTACGAATAACAAGAATGGGCTGTCGAAAGTAAAGGATAAGATAGAGAAGCTTATCTGCAGGGTTAGGGTTAGGAGACGTTAATTTCCCACGCACGAGATTACTGTGTGGTGGATGTCCTCCCGTGGGTGGAATGGGTGGGTGTGGGCCCTGATAAGCCTCTATGGGGAGTGGTCAATTAACCTATGTATGTATGTATGTATGTATGTATGTATGTATGTATGTATGTATGTATGTATGTATGTATGTATCTGTTAGGTCAAAGAGCACGATAATGTGCTATTCGTGCCTGATGGGATTAAGCTGAAACCTGGATTCCAGGCAAAGCACAATGCTAATCAGGATTTCTTAAAAGATCTTTATTCAGCAAAATCTACAGTAAACAACTGAGCTCAGTGTTGGAGAATGCACTTAGAAGAGTTGAGAGGATTTGTCCTCACGGATGAAGAAGCAAAATCGCCGAAAAGCTGAGAAACAAGAAACCAGAAGGTATTCAGAAAATGAAGAAGCAATCGAAGTAATAAGGGACAACGAGGATTATGTAATTGACAATGATGATCTCATTGTTTCGGCAATCGCAAACATGAAAGCCTTCGAGATGAGATATTTGTCATCAATTCTTGACAATATTCCAGCGACAACACCCTCAGTACATACAATAAAACGCTTCCTCTCGCCCCAAAGTCCAAAAATATTTGAAAGCATTCAAGAAAATCATTGTGATCATGAAGATAGTTCGAGCGATACCGATGAATAATTATACGGACCCGGACTAGACATGGGACTACTGTGCTCCTTGAATATCTGTGTAAATGTATAATTAGTATATACACACTCAGTGATCTTGGCGTTTCAAGCAATCTGATTGGTTCGCTATCTCGGGCTTAACAAAATGGTGGGCGTAAACTCGCGTTTCGCTAAAGTTTCAGGAGCAGAAATTGCCTTTAAATGGCTTCCTTTTAATTTTGTCGAGATCACATCGTGTGTATACTAAAACAATTATTCTTTTCAATCTCGGTGAATAGTAGCTTTCGGGAATATTTACCGAGCCGCTTCGCGGCTCGGTAAATATTTAGCCACTATTCACCTCGATTTCAAAGAATAATTGTTAATTGTATAATGTTAACAATCAAGAACGAGTGAATTTATATTCATACAATAGGCCATTTTACCAGTTGTGTACTTAGTTGCCAAGCCTTTGATTCAGAGTGAGGCTAAAGGTGACCTTGTTGTGATAGAGAGCTGTATCTAGTTAGCATGATAACCAAGTGATTTACATTTGAAAGGCAGCAAGGTTTTTATCATAACAAGGTCACCCCTAGCTTCACTCCCATTCAAAGGCTTGGCAACCAAGCACACAACTGTAAAATGGACTATTTAATACTGTAGCCTAGTGCACGTGCCGAAAAGAAAAACATCGTACGTTCTCAATCAAATGCTACACTTGAAATCAAAATTAGCTATGCAGTTTTTGTTTAATATTAAAATGTGACTTGAATATTTCATGACTTTTGCGAGCCCTGCATGTTCGAAATTCATGCTGCGTATATTTGACTGCTGAGAGAAAAATTATCTTTACTATATTTATATAGGGATGGGGGGGGGAAGTTATGAGTATTGTTGGTACTTTCCTGGGGAGGGTCATAACTTTAGTTTTAAAATAACTGGGAAGGGTCTAACATTTTTTGGCAAAAATTGTTCCGTGAATTCTCCAGCCTCCCGGTTAGCTCAATGGATAGAGCGCTGGACTGTAGTGCGGGAGGTCGAGGGTTCGAGCCCCGGCCGGACCAACACTCAAGGTCTTAAAATAATTGAGAAGAATTTGCTACCTTTCTATAACATCAAGAAATGGTTAGATATTCTAGTCTTCTCGGATAGGGACGAATAAATGGAGGTCCCGTCTCCTGCAGGGTTGGGGCAGGAGACGTTAATTTCCCACACACGAGATTACTGTGTGATGGATGTCCTCCCCTGGGGTGGGATGGGTGGGTTAGGACAGCAGGTCCACATCAGCTATTACAGCTGCCAATGTTCAACTGATTCACAGACGGAAATTTTCGAGGGAATCGGAAATTATGGCTGTACACAGGCTATGATTAAACGAAAGTGACCGAAGAGCTTTTCGATGGTTTTCGGTCCGTTCTACAAACCTCGGAAAACTCATTTGAATTACAAATACTTTTCAAATTGAATATTCACAATTGCGGTCGCAGTCTTCGTTGCACGTGGAAAGAGCTTATGAAACTTCAAGAAATTTCAGCGTCTTTTTCAGCAACTCAGGGGCCAAGAAATACGTATTTTCAACCCATATTTCAATCACCTAAGATATTGTCCACTCGTCAAAGGTTAGCTTGTGTCCATAGACCACTTTCATAAATGGCGGCCGGATTAATATTTTTTTGTTCAAATTTAAATTAGCCCTTCTGGCCTCGTTCTCCAGTACAAAATTCAAAAGAATACTTTACCTTAAGCGAGGCCAGAAGGGCTAATTTAAATTTAAACAAAAGAATATTTTAAAATCTGGCAGCCATTTATGAAAGTGGTCTATTTCACTCCGCAAGCTTGCTGTAGGGAGTGGATCACATGATTCTCATGAGCCAACCAGAAACCGTCACGCTGATTGTCCTTTTCCGATTGGACGACGTTAAACGATGACTAAACGCCAATGGTTCCCCACCCTCGTTAGATATTTTGAATTGGTTATCATTTAACGTCGTCCAATCAGAAAAGGGCAATTAGCGTGACGGTTTCTGGCTGGCACATGAGAATCTTGCTACGCATCCCAGACGTTTTAATACTGTGGGATTTTGATTTTCTTCGAGGGCTAGCTCCGGTCCGTTTGGATGGATTTTCGATTGGAAGGTACGAGGAGAATCGTGAATCTTTTGACCGCAAGACTGCGAAGTTTGAAAGCGGAGCGATACGATTTTCGGGGGAAAATAGCTCTGGCGCTTGAACCCTTTCAAAACAAGGTTTCCACCCTTGTCTTCTTTTATGTATTTTACATTAACGACGAACTCAAACTCATTCAAAATCGCTCAAAAGTTCATTTTTGAGGCAAAAGGACGACTATACACCACAGGTAAGGTAATTCAACGTTTATTTCTCATTGATTTATATACATAGTCAGCAATACATCGCTATAGGTGAGACAAACGGTAAATCTGGTACATTCACTGTAAAATAACAATCGGCTACACTAACAGATTGTATGGGCCTCCTGTGAAAAAACATTGCGACTTTAGGCGATTTATAACATCTCGCATTCTGATTAGTTAGCTATGCGAGGTATCCATCCCAACTGGAAGTCATCTTCTAACGTTGTGTCGTCCTGTTTGATTCTTTGGCTCTGTTAATGTTGAGCTTGTTTTAACTTAGCAAACCGGCTTCCCAGCGTCAGTCAAAGATAAAGGTAATGTTTGTCAGTTAAACCTTAGCCAGAAATAAAGTAAATGGTACGGTTTTGTGGGTCAGGGTTGGAAAGGCAAGGCTCATTCCATTTGCATCAAAACATGAGATTTAGCGTTTCACTCGGTCCTTTTTCAGCATTTTTATTTTGGTGCCGTTAATAGTACAACATTTTACAAGTATTATCTTTTAGCGACATCGGCTAGGATAAAGCTGTGATAAGTAAACTGTTAAGCAAACGGCAAACGCGAGCGATCAGTCTAGCGAAATCATGCAACTAATTCGGTTTCCGTTTTCGATTGTAAGGTTACAGCAAAATATGATTAAGTAGTGTAGCCCGATAGAAATTGATAAATTTTTCGATCGCTCCAAGTTTGCAAAACAATTCGTACCATTTACAAATTCAACCAACGATGGCGGCTTTACGTAAACTACTCACTTACCGAATTTTTCCATCCGTATCCGAGCTCAATATGAATAAAATTAGAGAGCTGGTGAAGAGTAAAGTCTTCTGAAAAAAACTGCCACCATTTATCAATAATTTCGAAGTGGTTATCCCTGCTTGCGATGTCCTCTTTCTCTCTCTCTCTCTCTCTCTCTCTCTCTCTCTCTCTGTCTCTCTCTCTCTCTCTCTTATTAAGCGACAACATTGTCTTCTATTGGCCAGATTCTATAGACATTATCTATGTGAAAAAATTCTTTGGAAAGATTTCCATATAACCCCATACATTAATTATGCATTCAGTCATAAAGACATTTCACATAGGTTTCTTTGCAACACTCTACGCATAAGTAATGTGTGGGGTTATACGGAACTCTTGCCATTCTTTTTCCTGAAAATATAAAATCAATAATGTGATCAGAAATTGCTTGGTGTTTTAAGTTTACACGAAGATTGTAGACTCTGCGTATGACGACATACGGTACAGAGAAATTCAAAACATACAGGTTGTATTATTCGTCAGACAAAATCACTCAGGGAAAGGATAATTGTGGGTCTAGAAAAACCACATGGTCGCGTTCATGATCACCGAGTTCTGTCCTCCTTACATGTGGTATCAATAAACTCCTTATTTTAGCGTTCGGCCGAAAGATCGTGAAGAAATTTTACTCCAACTCATACAAACTTCTTCAGAAGCCGACGCAGTAACTCGATTGAACTTTGTGTTGAAGAACCGTTCAGAATAAAAACTGACTCGCGTTGCCTCGTTTGAATTACATGTTGCAACCCGTTCAGCTTTCTCGTGGAGTTGAACGCTAAATTTTCCAAAAGTTTGCTCACCTAATGTTGTTGCATCGTTAGACTGCTTTCCGTTGCTCTTTCTCTTAGGTTGAGTGTACTGTTCCTTCCTTAGTGCGACTCATCTTTCGCACAAGGTGTGATACGTCTTCGCTAGTCGGCAAACAGCGTAGTTTATTGAAAAAATTATAATTTCTAATGAATATGGGTTAAAAGTTCTAGCAAACAATCGGCTGATACGTCACAGGTTTGGTGCGGAGTTGTTTTCGGGAAGAAAAGCATTGTGAGTGATGAATTTGCATGTGAAAAGAGGAAATAATAGCAGTAATTTAAATGAAGAAACTATCATTTAATCAGCAGAGCAAAGCCTGAGACTGAGCGCGTGATACGGTCCACACTAGGGAGCTTAAGCAACCACGACGAAAGGGACGACGACGACGTCAAGTAATCGCGGAGGGTCTGGAACGAGGACGTCGTTTTTAGCGGGCGGGAAAATGAAACTTAAGCTGTGAAGTTGCTCAAGGACGACGACGTCTGAAATCTTGTTTATTCTCGCTTCGTCAGTTTAAGAAATGACATCGTTCATAGACGTCCAAAACCTTCTTCTTCTCACTCATGGATCAAATTTCCACATATATATCGAAAGTTTGAGAGTAGGTTATTCAATTCTTGAACATCAACAGTCCGAGGAATTATTAAGCTTTAGCTTTATTTACAATAATTAACGCATCGCAAAAGTTTAAAATATTAAATTTTACGCAAGTTGTTCGAGATTTAAATTCAGTTCTAAGTGTTGCTGATATAAACAAAGCTATTTTGCACAAGGTTTGTCTGATTTTCAACCTGCTTTAGCCTGATATGTTCTACCTTTGATGCTCCTTCCTTTGGCGAGCAAACGACGTAAGTCTGTCAATTTAATCAATGCTAGCTAGCGATCGGCACAGATAGCAGTCGTCGCGCTTCACCCAAGAATACTATTTTTTCCCGTGTGATTTTGTCGGAATAATTTTTATGGCTGTAAATCTGTATCAAACATTTTGAAAATAGATTCGGAAAACCTGACAGGTATTCAAGCTCATGTTAACACACCGATCTGAAGAATTCTTTGTTGTTTAAAGCGTCTCGATTGAAGAACAGCAACACGCAAAATTTTTAAGTAGCAATAATCCGGCAGTTCCATACACAGCTTTTGACCCAACGCAGAGGTGTATTACACTGCCATTTAAAACTTTTCATTCAATAAAAATGATAAACAGCACTCTTTTATAAAATATACTCAAATAAATTTAAACCTTACGTGGTCGCTTTCACCGCTTGACTTGACATCTGCTGTGCGGAGGAAGGAATATGAGTTGGTGGGTTTTCGAATTTTATTTGTTTAGAAAACTGAACAGGGTGGTTTAAATCAAACGAAGAAGCGAATACAAACTCCAACCGGCCATAGACTGTCAAAAAACTGACCATAAACCCGAACCTTTTGATGAGAAAAACTGCTTTGAAGTTCGGAAGTTCACGACGACGTGAAACAGGTCCTTCTCAAGTCGTCGACGACAAGACGACGACGGAATTCTTGGTTCGCGCTTGCGCAGTGACGTTCTTGCTACTTCCGGTCGTCGTCCTCCGTTCGTCGTCGTGGTTGCTTAAGCTCCGTACTGTTGGAGTTAGACCACGACGGTAGTCCCATATTTTCACCCGTCGCTATTATTGCATGCCCGTTGCGCGGTTAAAAAAAAAAAAAAATTGGAGTGTAAGAATTGCTAGCGCACCGAGCGGAAATCTGGGAATGATTCGCATGAAAAAGTGCGCATCGTCCCTCAATGTTCCTCGAGGCACGCTTATCTCAAATCTTTTTCAGCTTAGTTTTTTGGACTCGCACGACTGAAATCGCCGAAATCGAGGGACTGTTGTAGTCTATGTTCGTATTTGCTTCAAAGACTGATGAGCCTCATTCGATTTCCATATTACATTAATAAATGGATACAAAATCAGAACCTACAGATACACTGCTGGAAGAAATTGCCGTTCTTCCTTCTCATTTCTCCCTGCAATTTTCCTCAGGATAACCCAGTGAAGGTCACCAGAATAACAGAAATAATCACCAACCAAGGAAGCTCTTGATTGTTGTCAAATTCTCACCGTCAGCTCCTTAGAAAATGTATATAGAACAGTCTGCCGCCTCTCGGTTAGCTCAATTGGTAGAGCGCCGGACTGTTGTGCGGGAGGTCGTGAGTTCAACTCCGGCCGGACCAACTCTCAGGGTCTTTAAATAACTGAGAAGAAAGTGCTGCCTTTGTAATAATATGTGCAAATGGTTAGACTTTCTAGTCTTATCGAATAGGGACGATAAATGGAGGTCTCGTCTCACAAGCCCTTGTATGTGATAAAAAAAAACTTGTGGGACGTTAAAGAACCCACACACATAGTTCGAACATAGTTCCGCTTTGATCACTTACCCCAAATATCTCTGAAACTGCCATAATGGTCAAGCGAGCCGAGATCTCGGGTCAGAGGACTTAGTTTGGATATATCAACAAAGTTGAAATGGTAACTATCAGCCTTTATTCAGAGGACTTAGGTTGTGTCACACAAGAAAATGTACTAGATCCCCCATACATAGGCTCTGCAGTATTATAAGAATTCCCCCTCATTGGCAGTTAGTTTTCTATACTTCTATACTCTGTTAGCAACGACTAATCCTACCCCCTGTCCCCCTCCGAAATTTTCCGACTTTTCCCCTCCCCTCCCCCAGGCGATAAATAATGACCAGTCCCTAGCCACGCCACCATCTCGGTAAGCTAAGCCAGCCTTGATTAGCTGGCAGGTGATGGTCTGCTGCGCAGCCGTATGTGGGTCGCCTTAAGAGACCATGAGGAACGGAGAGAGATCGAGTTGTGGAACGGAAATAAATAAATTGAATCAGAGATGGGACTCTGATTTGGCAAATGAAAAAAATTTCTGGCTTACTATAATTCATGATGGGAGAGGAAGGGGTATATGTAAGCGAATCTTACGTGCTTTACCTGCATAACTTGAGCCTCTTAAAACTGCTCTAGCCGACATTTTGGATTATTGTACACTATGGACAACGAAACTCGCCATTTAAGGTAGTATTTAAGCTTTATTTCGATCAAAGAAAGGCCTTTCAAAGACACTGAGTTACATTCATTTCAACACTACAAAGAGGTTTACAAGAAACAACACCTCGGTGGTTTACTCTTCTAGTTTACGTTAGATCTACATTTTAGGTTATTTAAACTAGAATTATCAACAAGAACATGTGCTTTAAGCAACGTAAACCGACGAAAACATAAAAAGACAAAAATTCAGCCAACTATCCAAACATCGTCGGCTCATTGTGGTGGTATCGTTTACTTCCCTTGTGGTGGTATCCCCTGTTGTGGCCACACTTGCTTCCCTTGTGGTGGTATCCCCTGTTGTGGCCACACTTGCTTCTCTTGTGGTGGTATCCCCTGTTGTGGCCACACTTGCTTCCCTTGTGGTGGTATCCCCTGTGGTGGCACCACTTGCTT